ACCAGATTTAAGAACACATAACAAATATCGTTGGAATACAAGAGAAAGTGACTATATAAGTCCATTAGAAACAATGTTTTATTTACGTGTATTTTTTACATATGGACTTGAACAATTGTGTAATATAACATTGTGGAGTTTATGTACAAAAATATGGAGTTGATCAATTTTTTTTTGTAAAAATATATGGCGTAAATATTGCATTGTTAAAAAATAAAATTCACGAATATTTGGACTTGGTTAGGTTACCTCACCTCACTTTCTCGGATTATTAAATAATATTTTTAGATAAATCAAACCTTTAATAAAGATCTTAAAAATCAAACACAAAACAAAGTTCAAAAAAATTCAAAAATACAAAATCACGATTGTAAAATGAAGATTGCAAAAAAACACAGCGAAACAACCAGAAAACAGCGAAACGCACATCTCCACTCAATGGCAAAACACAACTGAAAAGGAAGGAGAAAGCCGGAAACGGAAAACTGATTTGACATACAGAACAATGACAGAACATAATTAATAGGCCTATTTAGGCAACTACAAAAACAATTTTGTACGCAATTATTAGGCAACTATAAAAATTCAAATAAAAATACGCCATCTAGCGCCCCAGGAAATTACTACCCCAAAAACAGATCGTTCAAGGTCGTATATTTCAGTTGACTGGCCCCAGGGTTGCCACAAGCTACACAATTGTGTATTTTGCTACACATTTGCTACCATGATTGCACAGCTACACCACAATCGCCTGTGCTACACATTTTGAGAATTTACATATTTCTTATAAAAAATAATAATATTACCTAAACAGTAAAAAGCTGTTTTTTTTGCTTTTAAGTTATCTAAATTACATTAAAAGAGGCCGCAAGTAAACTTTAAATTTTGAACCGACAAATATCATTTTCCGATGTTTTCCGTCATCAGTGTTCAGGTGTTCAGTAAAATGTCAGAGTATGAACTGAATCATGAATCAAGGACCGTCTATTGGTCGAGTCAAAAACGGTAAATAGACAGGATCAAGGAGACAGGATTGTTTAATTCTTTAAATAATACATAACACCTCTGATAACACGTAATACTTTGGTTAGGTTTGCACAATTACGTCATCGTTACGTCACAGTTCCACTCGTAGGCATACGTGAATAATATTCAATTCCTATTTCACTTCCTCCCATATCAGCAAAAACTGCAGTTTATATGGACAAATTTGGCCGATTAAACAGTCCTAAATTGTTTACAATTTTTAAACAGACTAACCGGTCTAATTTGTCCATAAAATCGTTAGTTTAGTTTCGTTTTCGTGACATCAATTTTGACGTAGATGCTGGGGGGTGAATATATTTACGTATACAAACGAGTGAAAGTGAGACTCGTATTCATGCTTTAAAATTTGGCGAACGTACGTCTTTTTCTTGGTCTTATTGGATAGTTTACAATTATTGGTCATGGATGGCTACACAATGCTACACATTTTTATGGTCAAGTTCTACACAATCAAAAATTTTCTTGTGGCAACCCTGACTGGCCCTCAGTAGTATCACAGTAAGTAGATCGCCGAGCAGCGACAGAAACCGTCGCGTCGGCTCTTTTAATGTGGTGGGACCAAATTTTCTTTCTCTCTCTTTTGACGTGTTTGACAAATAGACTACGTATTTCACTGCTCAACTTATTAAGTAGTCCTATAAACATGGTATACACTACTCATAATTTGAATAATTGAATAGTGGAATTAATTATAAAGTTTTATACATATCTTTTTTGTTTTGTTTTATCTTTATTTTTAAATTTGAATGTATAAAATATCTTACAGCTAATAAATAATTAAAAAAATGATTCGTTGCCTGAAGCATACTTGAAATAAAGTATATAGAGATATTTGATAAATGGCAACAGTGGCAACTTCGCTTCTTCATATGACAGATAACCTACTTATTTCGCGCAGCCGCAAAGAAAACTGAAAACGGGACTGTCGCTACTCGTCGGTTTACTTACTCTGGTAGTATATTATAGTTCACAATAATCACCAAAGCCGGCTTGTCATATTGAAAAACAACTTCAAAAGGCAATGATAATTGTAAAAATTGCAAATTGTTGGTGGCATGTTCATTTCGCTCTTAAAAATTAATGAAGGCATGTATTGACATGATCCAAAAACAAAACGCCCAAGAGACATGAGTCTAACCGTAAAATTATATTTTAGGAAAATTTATTGCACAGGGTGTTTTAAAGTTAAGGTAAAAAAAGAACCCTTCAGTTAACCCTGTATAATATGCCAAATACTAAGGGTTATAAGAACTGAGTTTACGAATTAAAGTTTATATAATTATATACAGCTTGCTAAAAAATTCATGCTTCAAAAAAATAGAGCGAAAAATAATAAAAATATAACACTTTAAATTTGAGCAAAAATTTTTCCCTTGCGTTTTTTTTTGCACCTGAGTGTAAAATCGTTATTTTTTTTAAAATTAATTTGAAAAGATTTTTGAACTATTTCAAATATAAACTATGGCAAATAACTTTAAAATATCTGCGCTTGTTCACTTTTCGCAAAAATAACAACGGTATGGGGAAAATCAACATGGAAAGCAAATATTTTACTTTGCCAACGACATGTGCCTAGCCGCATTCGCGTATTTTCACGTATATTAAACATATCTGTTATTTTAATTTGTTATTCTGTTGGGCTTATATCGAAAAATCACATCAAAATAAATTGTTTATAGTTGGAAACTCTCTCTACCTCTCTACATATTTTCATTCGCAATATATTCCCCCGGTTAATTATTGTAATGAATTCAACTAAAGCTGTGCACTAATTTGATTATCCGTTGGAATATATTTACAAAAATAATTATTCGATTGATTCTGATTTTATTTCGTGTTTTGTATAGAGTATCATTATTTTATAAAGTGTTTTATACAGGTGGTTTCAATGGGAATCATCCAACGGTCTAAGACACTTAAAGAAGACCGAGAAAAATTGGTCAAGTGCGAGTCGGACTCGCGCACGAAGGGTTCCGTACCGTTCATTATCTATACAACATTAGACACTATATTATTACAAACTTTTTTTCCGATTTAGCTAAATTTTGCGCGTATAAGTAATTTAAAAAAAAATGAAGAAACACATTACTAAAAATTGTATTAATCAATAATAAATATGTAAAAAATAAAAATAAATTATGTAAAAATATGAAAAAATTTAAAAAAACGATTAAAAAAATCGCCTTGACTAGGATTCGAACCTGCCGTAATACGGCTCCGACGTCATAGCAGCGTAAAGTTCTAACGCTTTAACCAGGCGGCCACCGAGGACTTGAAAGGTTCTATATAAAATTCTTACTTAAAAGATAATGTTTAGTGAAAGTACTTTTTTATTTATAAACACTTATTAATTCTGTTTTTAGTATTTGTTCTTATAACGGCAACATAGATACATTATCTGTAAAAAATTCAACTGTCTAGCTATAACGGTTCATAAGATAGACCTTTGTGACAGACGGACGGACGGGACGCACCGACGGACAGCGAAGTCTTAGTAATAGGGTTCCCGTTTTTACCCTGTGGGTACGGAACCCTAAAAATCAAAGATTTTCCTTGATTTAAGTAGCCAGTAGTAGTAAAACAATCTTTGGATTGTTACGGGGTTTTTAACAGGACGCTGTCTCCCCAATGAACGCTTCAGTAGATTGAAGCTAAGAAACAATGGCAAATTCAGATTCTGTGGGGAAAATAGGAAAACACCAGAATATCTCATCAATGAGTGTGTCGAGACAACCATGCGTACCATAACCTTTGGTACGACTGATATCGGAGATGGAGAACTAACCTCTGTATGATCAGTTATAACTCAAGAAATGGTTCTCCCTTCCCAAACAATCTACATCTAGATCTACAAGTCTTCTTCAAGAGCGTATATCTCCAATAAAAAGAAAGGTATTGAAGTGAACCAATAAAACTATCTAGAAAAAATGTACCTTGATAATAAAATGGTTCTTAAATTTTTTACTTTATTAAACCATTCTACATGGTGTTTCAAACTTTCGCTAGAATAAGAAGATTTTGTTTTGCCTCGTATAATTTTCGACCTTACAGATCTATTGTGTATTTTTCTTTCTCGAGTTATATCTCATCATACAGTCTCAGGGCTTTGACAAAAGCCAGTATCTGATACGGCTTCACAGAGGCTAGTTTTCCATCTCCGATATCAGTCGTACCAAAGTTTATGGCACGAATGGTTATCGTCTCGGCGCACACAGTGATGAGGTGTTCTGTTGTTTCCCCATTTTCCTTACAGAATCTGCATTCGCCGTTGTTTCTTAGCTTCAATCTACTGAGGTGTTCGATGAGGAGACAGTGTCCTGTTAAAAAACCCGTGACAATCCCAAGATTGTTCTTACTTAAATCAAGGAAAATCTTTGATATTTTTACTGTCGTAAGTCCTGAAAAATTTCTTCGAATATCTTAGACCATTGGAGAATTCCCAATTGGAAAGCATAACTGTTCTGATCCAGTTAGTGGAGTGTTCGTTCCTTTTCTAGCTAGATCGTTTGTCTCTTTTTTAAAAAGAGGCTAAAAAGTCAAATAATTTATCTACAAATTGCTTCAATAATCGTCAAAACCGATAAACAAACAAATTAGAACAAAATTTATTGAATTGGAAATATTGAATGAAAATTTTAAGCGTCTAAAGTTGACAAACTTTAACAATTCTTGATAAGTAGTAATATATCCGAGAATATAAATATACCTAGCTACTTAGTTTTATATTTTGAAACCTCTTTATATTTGACTCTATTTTTATCCAAATTACATATCCCTTATACATTTCAGTCTCCAGAATCCGATTACAAAATGTACGTATATTTCCTTAGTAATGTAATATTCAAAATTTAAAAATCACAAATATAAGGCACTACATTTACTTAAAAATGTAAATACAAAAGCGAGATTACGTTTTTTGACCACATACAAAAGGCAGACTACTTTTTACTCACCCAATATCTCCACCGTATGTGTAATCTCCCTTGGTTCCAGAGTTCCTATCTGGCAAACGTAATCGCCAGCGTCTTGGGGGCCCACTTCTTTGATCTCCAGGCTGTAGTCGGGATTGAGAGCCACGCGGGGGTCAGGGGAGACTAAGGTGCTTCCCGCAGAGAGCACAGCGATGCCCCGTTTCCATACCAAGACGTAGGGACCTGGAAAAGAGGGTGAATATTGGATTAGTTCGTTGGAACACCTGCGTGTGATGAACTGTGAACTAATACCGGGTTTTTCAAATGCGATTCTCACCAATGGGATCTCGGAAACGACAAGAGATACACACATTGGGATAAAGTTGTCTGTTAGTAAGCCCAGATAATCCTTTTAGTAATGTTTAATTAAAGTGAAGATTTCAGTTAACGTCTCCTTTTTGCTGACAGGGCTAATCTGGACGGGGCCTACTTTGTTTACGCGGAATACGAACCGCGGTCCTCGGCCATATCATGGTCAATGGCCTACCGACTTGGCAAGTGTCTAAATCGACTCTTACTCACGAGATATCCGATCTCATCCGGCCTCGAACCGGCGTGAATGAGCAGTGTGTGTCAATAGATTTTACACTTTTGCCTTTTTTTGGACAACAGCACGATACAGAGTTTCGAACCGGTCACCCGTCTATCCACTAGTATCGCCTTACGTCGCTTAACTTCGGTGTTCTAATGGGAACCGGTGTTTCGACATAGCTGGGCCGTTGCCCCCAAGTACTTTAGTTAATATTGTTATGTACTTATTACAACAATGTTTCAACAAAATCCAACAGAACGATTCGTTTAATATAATATAATCTAAGCGTGCTTTTGACAATATTTCTTTAAAGAAAAATAAAGCAATATATGTTTTAGCCCTGTTTTTACGGTTTTTTTGGTATAATTTTCATCTCACGTCCGGAAAATAACATCTGGCACGTCCGTCTAATGCCGCAATTCGATGCCAAAGAACAACTTTCACTCGACTACGCAAAAAATAAAATATATAAAAAGAAACGGTTTGCAAAAATGAAAACGGCAATTCTTTGGATTCAGTTCACGCAAAATTAAGTTTAAGGGATCGCAAGTTTCGACACTTCAAGTGATATTTTGCGATAATTTGTTTCTTTTCGTTTCTTCGGTATTTTTTTTAATATTTGCTTTTTTTTCAGTTTGTCCCGGATGGTCTTTACAAGACGAAACACTTTTGTATTATTGATCTTTTGAAAAAAATGCATTCTTCATAAAATTTTTGTCTTGTTCTAAAATGGTTAATCCCCTTTATACTTTTGCATATTTTCATACCGTTTTAGAGAAGATTAAAAAAAACATGAAATTATGGTTGAATTTTTTATATAACACAAACATCCGATACGCTACTGAAGCAGGTAAGTCAAATTGACGTATCTAAATTCTTTGACATCTAATCTTTGACAAGTTTTAAATAAAAGCAAAAATGTGAGAAAAAATATACAATTAGTTAATTTTAGGTAAATTTCATAAATGATCGGTTTACTACACGGATGTATATTAAATAGTCACTTACTAGAGCGAAAAGTTATTCCATTATTTCCCTCGATTTTTGACCGAGATCTACCGCACGCTACACAAACAACTATTTTACAGTCTTTTTCGATAAATCGCATTAGTGTCACTGTTAATTTAAGTTCTGCCCCAATTTTCTTCTAGATTTACTATCTTTAAACAACTATCAGTAGTAGAATAAATAATAAATAACATAAAAAAACTCAATCCAAGACAAATCCACAAAATTTCAAATCAAATTCAAATGTGTCAAATGAATCGTCAAACAGAACTGTCATGAATCCCCACTCTAGGGCTCTTTGTCCATCTACCATTTTTATTCAGAAAGAAGACAGACATCGATCAATATCAAAATTAAAATTTGATTGTGCTGTTTTTGTTAATTTGAAATTCATTTTTTTTTATTACTAAAATGCGTTGCCGAAAGTTTATTACTTATTTTCCGTGAGAATAGACACTGGTAAAAACACTTTTACCCGTGGATATCGTATATGAATTAAGTACAATGCAGGAGCCGGAAAGTGAAATAGCAAAAGCGGTTCCACCGTTTCCATGGAAATTTCAAATAAAATAGTTCCAGCCTAGGGCGCTAGGTGGTAGTGCAATTAATTTTTAGGTTAAAAAGTTGCTACTAGTTGTTGCCAGATAGCGTTCAATCAGACTTTTTTTGTAGTTTCCATAGTTTCCAACGGCCATTGTCATACTATTGTCAAATTCTCAAAAAATATTGTCGTTGTCATAGCGCCAATCATAATATTATCAAAACGTTTTTCAAACTATAATTTGTTATATGTGTTTTTATTAAACAATTCCTTTTTTTTGTTTGTGGCCCTAAAAATATAATGTAAGTCTTTTATTTTTGCCATCATTTAAGTACCTATTTATATTTACTCCATTTACAAAACTTTGGGCGTATTACGTTGGTCTTGTTTTATTATAATAAACGATGTTTACATATTTGACTTATAAATAAGAATTTTAAATAATAAATAATATTTCCACATGTTTGGCTTTAATTTTATTTAATAATTGTATAAATATATGCTGATGCTTTGAGAATAAGACATTTCTTAAACAGTTTGAGAGGTACGAGTATATTTAATTATTCTAAGCATCTTGAACTTCTAGAGCATCAAAGTGTATTTTTTGTACAGAATCTCAAGTTTTTTCATAAGTTTAATTTTAAAGTAGGTACGATTTACCTGAAAAAATCTGATATATGTGCATAAAATTATAAATTTAAAGACAATCAAAACGAATAAAGGTCTAACAAAAATAAACCGTACTCAAAATTTTCTAAACAATATGAACTGATCTCAGGAACACCCTATAACTCATTTTTGACAAATATTGATGACGTCACGTTGATCGATCGCTGAACAGACAGTACATATAAACATCTTCTATCTGTAACACGGAATTAATAAAACCGCGTAATAAATGAACTTCGTATAAATATTTGTAAATTTAGTGAAGTAAAAGAAATAAACTAAAATTAAACTATAGAATCCTGGAACAAAACATAGTTGGTTAAACCCGTTTTAATTCTATTAACTAGATCTACTAATAGGAAAGAGTGTATATTTTCATTTAACTTTCTAGCCAGCAATGGCTAATTCTAACTCGGCACAGCCTAATTCAATAAGCCCCAGTGTTCCCAAGCGCATCGCAGCGCCGGATCTACAATTAGTTAACAAGATAATAATTTGATTTATTTAAAAAAAAACGACGGGACGGGACAGAGAAAGATTGAATAATCATAACTCGTCCGCTACATCCGACAACCTCGCAGATTTACGATGTCCAATTAATCAGCCTGATTATCGTCATATTTTTCTGCCCCGGTTCGTTCAGAGCAAGCAAGAAAAAGCAGGATAAAAAAGAGAAAAGTTCTTAATTAAATATATTTTCTTTCTGAGCTGAAACGGGTAACTGTCGTTTCTCTTTTTGTTAGAGATCTGGTTCAATGCGTCCTTAAATATTGAGGCTTACAGTTGGGTTGGTTTTTGGTTTCAGAGGAATGATATTATTAGACAACTTTACTACTTTACTATACTAAATGAAGATAGAAAAACCCAAGTAATATATTTTTCCAACTTTTCCATAACAAACAATTTAAATGAAATAAAGGAACCTAGGTTGTGTTAATTTTTTTTATTTGTGATTACCTCAGATGCGCCCGACAGAAGCAATATTTTATGAAATTTGAGGAGAATAGTTTTTGTAAATAAAACGCTAAATTTGTAAATAGCCCTACTCATTTTACTACATGAATTCACAAGTCAAAGAGCACGGCAGAGAAAACCCTGATGATCACTATTCCAGAGAATCTAACTATGCTGTCCTGCACTTTAATAAAAGAGAAATAATAATAATACAGAAACTGTCCTCATACCAAGGTTTGTAGTATCATACATTCAAAACATGCCACATTTATTACATTCAAAACGGAAGAGGTTTTTGTTAGTTTAACGGGCCCCCACCTGTAGATACTAAGACACTGATTGTAGAGCTCGAAGATAAAGTAAAAGGTCTGGTGCAAAATATCTTTAGATTATAAGTTATTCTATTTATTGCTGCTAATATGTCACAAGGCCCTTATTCTCACACTGAACTACAAACATTAGCACGAATGGAGAGTAAACGATCGTATTTAGATTATTTTTAAACATAAATTATTCACAGCATAATCGATTCCATTAAATACGTACATATGTTATATGATTTAATTCACAAACGAAATAAACAAGTAAAATCTTTAGCAGAATAACAGAATATTACAACAGACAATTAATAAGCTATAGGCTTTAGTTAACACTAGTTAAATAATGAGAGAACATTTACTTTACCTTTAATAACATTCTTTGTTGCAAAACTTACGAAGCAAAAATAACATAACTGCGTCTCGGTTTGGTTTGGTACTTAATAACTATTATATCTGGTCGTCGCCTGATTTTCCTCTCCTTTCTCTTGTTTTGTGAATAATACTTTAAAAATCAATAATCTTATTTGTGTATACAGAGTGTCTTAAAAATTTATGTTTCTAATTTATAGAATATGTTTATTTTTAAATAGGCGGTTCATCTCAATGTAAAATATAGAATGAGTGGAAGGAAGATGAATCACCGGACCTCGTATAGATCAATTGTATCCACCTTTCTTGAGTTAAACTCAAAAAAAATTTTGCCAAAAAAAAAACATTATAGAGGTTTACCTAGGAACAGCGTACCACCTTTGAAAATATTCCACTTATTTAAGAGACTGATAAGCCAGTAAGCGAGGGTTTTAGGGTCCGAATTCTGAACACCTGCATTGACCTGAAATTTTAACAGTGAATAGAGATATATGTAAGAAACAAAAGTTACATAGTAGCGATGTGTGTTTTCACCCTGGGGGTGAGTGCCACCCCTCCTCGGGGGTGAAAAAATAAATCACCCATTTTAATTGCCATAATCAATAAAGGGATGAATTCTAAACAAAAAAATGTTCTATAACATTTTTTTCAGAAAATTAATATTTTCCGAGTTATTTAGGGTTGAAAATGTTGATTTTTCATCTAAAAACTGCATATTTTTCTGCTATTTTTATAAATAACTCGAAAACCTTGCGTTTTATCGCAAAACTGATATAAAGCAAAAATGAAG